AGTTCCCACAAACAAATTGCAAACATGGTTGGTGGCTCTTCAATCCACACACCAAGAATCAAATAAACCAACCAAATAATTAGTTTCTACAATGAAGATCTATGTACCTTTTCCTTTCTGATCCAAGTAATCCTTGCAATATTGCTCTTCCAGTGATTGGGCTTTCCATAGTGGAAACAATTTCCTTTCTGTTGGCCCTTTTTCTTCTTGTTACTTTGTCCTCCTTTTCCATTTTGTCCTTGGACATTTGGACATAAAGAACTCTTCTTCTTTCTCTTCTTTGTCCTCTTGTGTTTAGGTAGGAGTAGATTCGAGTTGAGCCGAATCGAGCTATTTGAGATCAGCTCGCCAAAAAAGTGTTAGGTTCAAGCTCAATTCGAGCTAGAAATTTGAGCTCAAATTCGACTCAGCTCAAAAGTTCAAATGTTTGAGCTTGACTATGAGCCAAGCTTTTATAAAAAATAAAAATTATTTTCAAAAAATTAAGAATTATAAAAAAATATTTATTAGCATACATATAAAAAATAAAAATATTATATATATATATATATAAATATTATTATATATAATAAAAATTATGCTTGCAAGCCTCACAAGCCGAACTTCTTTGAGCTCGAGCTCGACTTGAAGCTCGATTTAAATCAATCCAAATCAAATAGAGATTGCCGGTTTTTGCACACCCTAAGGATCTCCAACTCATTTAGGTACCCCATCATCTTAAGGACATGATCCTTAATTGGGGTGCCTTTTTGCATCTTGGTGTTCAATATAGTGCCCTCATGACCATATGTCTAGCACTTTGGTGTTGTTCTCCAAACTTCTTAGGTTATCTATGATTTCCGTTGCAGTTAGGAAGTTCTAGTGTTGATGTTGCACAGTACATTTGACATAGATGCCAAAATGTGACACATTGTCGTTTTGTTAGCATCTATCTAACCACTTCCTGTGTTTCTCTCTTTTTCGATCTGGGAAGAGAGGCTCATCCATCATCCTTGAGCACAAAGAAAATCTTTTTACCAACCATGACAAAGTCAAGGTTTCTTATCCAGTTAACATGATTCGATCTAGTCAGTTTGTTACCACCCAAGATCTTTTCAAGTGGATTAAAGTTCATCATCCCAATTACAAACAATAAATAAACCATATTAGTTGGTTAACCAAATTAAACCGATCATATTTGAGGTCTTTTGATGAATTATAATGGATTCCTAAATGTTGGTTCCCCATTAATTAGACCAATACAAATTGGGTATCAGAAACTTGCCCCTACTTTACACTGGATAATTTCTCAACTGCGTAACAAATCAGTAGTATCACTACCATATTGTTTCCCTAGCAAGATACACTTAAACCTCTCCTCCTCTGGGTGATGATTCCAAGTTTTTGTGTTCTCAAAAATGGAAGTTGGCAAGAGCGAAAAATCAAAGGAGCATCTCTTTTTCATTGAGTCAAGGTGGCCCTGGGATCCTCTTTTACATGAATTCTCCCTAGTCACATTCATTCTTTTAATGGGGATTTGGGTAATAGGCATTTTATTAGGTCAGGTCAAAAGTATCTAGCCAACATGCAATTACCCTAAGTCAATTTTGCAATGGACCAAGAAGTTTGCCTGCTGCAACCAAAACAACAATCATTCAATGCTTTTGGTAAATAAGTAAATAATATATCTATATCTATCTCTCTATCTATCTATATATATATATATATATCTATGTGCGAGTAGATTAGCGATCTCACGTGCCAACATTTTGTGCATGTAAAAGAAAGCATGACTTTGACTTTAGACCAAGGCTTCATGAATGTTGGTTTTGAGTCCCCTACTGTTGTGAAGCCTTTCGAGTCCGGTGACCTTCGAGGGAGAACGGGAGAACGAACGAGTTTTCCTGTCGTTTCCGGCGACCTTCGAGTAAATGGCATCCCCTACCCCCTTCTCACTTCAGTAGTTCAGTCTCTCTTCCTGCTCCCCCACTCCCTACCCCCTCTCTCTTTTCTGGAAAAACCTTCTGTCTCCCTCCCTTAGTCTCAGGCCCTCTCACTCTCAGACGTCTAGAAATCACATTCTCTTAGTCTCAGACTGAAAAAACAACTTCAAGAGATCAAAGGTTGAACCATCTCAGCCACTCTCTCTTATTGAGATTTTCTTTCCTTCTATTTGTATGCAACCTCTCACTTCTGAGTTTTTTACGCAAGTTTTCTTCCAAGCAAAAGTTTCAGCTACTCCGGTTGCCGGCATTGAAAAATTTTCAGTTGTTACAAACGTTATAGGAATTTCAGACGTTTTACCTCTCACTTCTGAGTTTTTTACGCAAGTTTTCTTCAAACGTTCCCAAACAACAGGTAGGAGGTCAAACCTCTATTTTATTGAGAAACGACGCATAAACTCCTATAACGTCTTGTAGATAATTTTTAGTTTCTGCAGCATCTCAATGATGGCTTCTGTGAAGAACAACTTTTTACCCCCATCCCTAATATCTAATCTACAAGACGTTCTAACTAGCAGAAAAGGTGGCGGCGACGAACAGTCCAAGAAGACCGACGAATCCATAGAACCTTCTTCCACTTCTTCCTCTCCCTCCTCTTCCGATCAGGATTGCTCCAAACCTACTGTGTTAGTCACTAATGCGGATGGAATCGATGCCCCGGGCCTTACCTTCCTGGTCGAGGCTCTGGTTTGACAAGGTCAATACAATGTTCATGTCTGTGCCCCCCAATCGTGGGTTCTCTTTTTCTCTCTATTTTTCTTCTTGTCATTTTATTTCTATCTGACCATATTGGGGCGTTATCTAATTCTGTTCATTTCTGCACTGCGGTGGCTTAGTGATAAATCTGTCTTCCGTCACTCGGTCACATTCTGCGAGACGCTTGTCGTGACTTCTGCTGAAATTAACAGGGCTACAGCTTACGAAATTTCCGGTAATACTGCATATATGCTTTCTTCTTTGTCTTAACTTGAATAGGGATTTAGGAGTTTTTCTTAAGAGTTACAATTATTGTTGATAAGAATTGCTAAATTTTCTAGTTTATTACCGATTGAAATAGAGTTAAAGAGGAACAATCAACTTCTCGAGCCAACACTTGATGAAGAAAGAAGGAAAAGTTACCGATGGTGAACATATAAAAGAAGTTTTGAAATGGTAGCTCCAATTGTGGAATCACATTTGGTGGAAAACAAATCAAACGATATCAATTTTGATAGGTGGCGCTGGTATCCATAAGTATTCAAATCCTTCATCGGAGATAAAAGCAGAATGTATCCATAATAATAATTTCACATCCATTGATCTAAGAGAGAGAGAATCAGAATCAGAAGAACGATCAAGGAATATTGAGGAAATAGGAAGAGTGATAAAAAATGGTTTTCAGTAAAGGAGAGAAGTAGCAAACCAAAGACAAAGTGGCGCGATACAGAAATTGCAAAATTATAACAATGTCTTCCAGAGAAATCACAGCAGAATCATCGTGGAATGGTTGAAAAATCCAAAGGAAAAAGAAAGATGAGATGGAAAAATGAGACTCGGGGGGCGGAAATGAGAATCCGAGAATTTTGTGAAGGTTGTTAATCCTGTTGTCCAATCTACAGTTCTGGTGAAGAAAATAAAAGAGAGATCTGAGTGGAAGGTAAAATTGTCATTTGTGTCGATATAAACACTTATGAGAAAAGTAACCTATCAAACATCTTCACCTCAATAAGTGCTTAAATCCATAATAAGTAATCTGAAAAATGGATTATCAAACAAACTTGGTGATTATTAAAATAAGTACTTTTAAAAAATACTTATATAACGAGTACTTAATCATCAAACTGAGCCCAAACTGAACTACAAAAATAAAACTAAAATCCTTTGCTTCGCAACTCATTTCTCTCATGTAGCCATGGGCAGAAGCCCTTTCTTATCTTTCGTAAATAATATAAATGATATCTGTGAAATATCTTCCAAACTCTTTATTAAGAACACCAATTATACCATTTACAAGACAGCAATAACCCAAGGTAGGTTCTCTTTCAGCGACAATCTAAGATGGCTTTCATTTTTCCACTGTCTTTTTGGTTGTATGAAAGAAGTGGAATTCCTTCTCTGTCCAAACAGTTTTTTATTCTGCATGTGAGTTGAATAACAGTAAAATGCCTGTAATGACAGTGCCCAAGTCCTACATGTATAGTATGCCATGTAAATAGGGGTGCAACTTCAGTAGGTTTGGTTGGATTATATCAAAATTTGAATGGGCTCGGGATGAAAATTCAAGCCCAATATGGGGTAAAATTTATTGGCATCATCTCCTTGTTTGTAATTCGATCAAGAAAATTAGACAGTGAATTATCCCTCATGTCACCATCATTCCTCCAACACACATGAAGTTGGGGCCTACTATGTGGTTTAATAATTTGGTATCTTAACACTTCAAATTTCACATTTTCTTGTTGATCTCATGTTTTTTCTGACATTCAGTGTAATTTGATAGTTATGGTGAGGTGTCATCTGATTCGGTTGACTTTTGGCCAAAATTCTCACTGCAGAAAACGGTGGATGATGCTTTCGAACCATTTTGAACACGCACTGCTCAGCTTCATCCCATTGTCAGTCTGATTCAAGTACAACTAGCAGAGGGCCCCTGCATAAGTAGTTTTAAAATAAATTATTTTATACAGGGCGTTGCAAGATTGAAAGTCATTAGAAAAAGAAAAAGAAACTATTTTTTTAATAAAAGAAAAATTAATTGTTTTCATTAAAAAAACAAAAAGTAGCAGTAAAAATCTGAACATGAAAGAAAGAACTCATTTGTGTTCAAGGAACTCAACCTCTCTTTCAAATGGTGAAATAATGTCCTTAAGAAATCAACATCTGGAGAATCCCATTTGTGTTCAAGGAAGGATTGTCCCTTCAAAAGCATGAGAAACAAACACAACCAAGAATATGTTTTTTTTCTGTGTTTTGTTTTGAGAAACTTTCAAACCAGATGGTTTTGACTTGTTTTTGGAACCGGCAACAAGAAAAGCAATTTACATTGTAAAACGCCCCTTAATCACATGGGGGTCCACATTCAAAATGTCAATGTGGGACCAACATTTACTAATCAAATTTTGATGATACATAATAAGAGTACATGTAAAATACTCAATGACAGATACATAGCAGAAACAAGTGGACCTACACCAATAAAGCATAAATTAACCATGTGGGCCCTACATCTATAAGAGAAAATATGAAAATTATGCCCATTTTGAGTCATTTTTCAATGCAATTTAGAACAAACGAGCACTTTGCACAAAAAAAGAAGGAAAAAAAAAAAAAAAACTAATGTGGGTAGTGCTAGAAGGGGATGCATGAGGAGTTTCTTCAGCATATATTTCTTCTTCAGTTGTTTTTAGCAACAGCAAACCCACCAACACCCGTCGCAGAGGGGAAACTGTTTCACATCTATTTAATTCCTTGCAGGAAAAGTCCTGTTTCCAACAACTTGATCAGTACCACAAACAAGTACAAGATCGTCATAACTGTCAATTCTTTACCTACGATTTTGTCCAATGTTCAGAGAACCAGAGAGGGAGAGGTTCATCGGTTAGAGATTCAACCGAGGTCGAATCATGATGGCGTGGCATATATGTATATATACTATAGGTTATATAAAATACTATATATAATATATTTTATAATTTTTAATATACTTAAATATGGAGGATGGATGAAAAATTCCTTTATTTTTAAAACAAATGATCAAAGTCAAAGTCTCTTAATTTACATTTTCTTTAAAATACATGTGTAATAAGGTAATATATACAATAAAGAATCATTAAATAGTACAAGTAAAGAAGTGGATTAATGGTAATTAAGCTATATGAAAATAAAAGGTCGTGGGTTCAAATCTTGTTAAGCACGTTTTAAAATTTCAAGTATTTAATAGCCCGGGCAGTTTCATGAAACTAGCACCAGTTTTCCGATTAAACCGGCCGGTCAGTCAGTTTTCACCAGGTTTATAGCAAAACGGTTATACACAAAATTCAGAGTATGTTTCCACGCATGCCATCTTGACTTGTGATTTTCCCATTAATCTATTCTCTATACTAGAAAGCAAGCTTCCACCCTATATAGAACAAGGCAACATAACATATCCACACTTCCCCAGCCAGCCAAAAATACAATCAACATTACAAGCAACCCAACAAACTAAAATTCAAGGTATATCTAGTAAAAGCTATGGACTCACTTTATCCAAAAGACCAGTGGCAGTTAAACAAAAGCATGAGAGAGCACAAAACTTAGAACCATGTCAACATTCCCCCATGACTTGAAAGGTGCACAGGTAAGGCGCATTTCAGGTCCTGTGCCTGGCAACCCCTTTACAAAGATGCACACTTAGTGTACTTGGCGTGCTTGTGCCTCAGCCTAGGCGTGTGGCCTTTTAAAATATTTTCTATTCATCATAATAAAAAGATACTTTTAAAAGATAATTAAATTACAAAATCATTTTTGTTGGGATTAAGAATCTTAAGATCCTAATATGGATTTGTTTAGGCTTAACTCAAGAGACTTGGTACAAAGGCAGCTCATAGAAATAGAAATGAAAGATGTTTAACATTGTATTAGTTATTTTGGAATAGTCTAAAAAGGAAGAGAGTAGGAGAAGGGGAAAGAAGAAAAGGGGATTGCTATGAAAAAGGAATTTTTTTGGGCCTCTAAGTTGACTCAGTGAAGATCCTAAGTTTGAATGTGAGAGGTTTAAGAAGTGCAAAGAAAAGAAGATTAATAAGGAGTGTCCTTAGGAAAGAAAGACCAAAGATTGTTATGTGTCTTACTTATGATTCAAGAGACCAAGTTATCAAAAATAGATAGAAGATGGGTCAAAAGTATTTGGGGAATTAGAGGACTTAGCTGGACTTTTACCCTTTCATGAGAAGTGTCAAGGGGAACTCTTACAATTTGGAGGAATGAGGAAATGGAATGTGTGGACAAGTTGATTAGCCAACTTTTAGTCTATTAAAAACAAAATATCCTCAAATGAAAGAGAATGGGCCTAAACAAATGTTTATGGTCCTAAATCTTACAAAGATAAAAATTTGTTTTCGGAGGAGCTATCTATAATTAGAGGTTTGTGGGAGGGCCCTCCAATGGACTAATTGACTCCCTTGAGCTGAAGGAACTGCCTGTACTGTAATTTCGGAGGAGCTATCTCCCCAGATTGTTCTAAGCTAAATAGGTTCCTCTTTCAATCTCCCCTTGTTGTAATGGGCCTTAGGCCCATTTTCTTTAACGGTTCATATCCCAAGGTGTTGTATGGCCACTTTGGGCCAAAATATTGTATGGTGTGGGACCCACAAAGGTCTCACACAAGTCTATAAGGGTCCAGCCCCATCTTTGGAAGAGGTTAGGTCGAATTCACTGCTCAGGGGCAATGAACCCTTGACCCAATCAGCATGGGCTCAGTTTGGGCCCAACATTTACATGTAAATGATCATTGGATTCAACCACTCTATGAAGACTCGAGGATAAAGGATTTATGTAAGATAAAGCCCATAAGGTAATCAACCCATAATCATCAAAACACTGCACATAGGGAAGGACCTCTTACCTGATTACAAAATGCAGTGTCACACTCTCTACTCGGATGGATCCCAGGATTAAAACCTTTTGCAAACCTTTTTCATAAAATAGTAATATAACATATAAATACATTTTGCAAATCAGATTTCAAATACAGTTGAAATTCACTAATAGTAGTTTATGTTTCCATCAGAGATAGTGTAAATCATGATATTCACTTTGTTTGACAAAGGGGCCGATCATATCACTATGATCACCCACTCAGTTAATTTCCTAAACTACTCAACATACCCAGATATTTGACTCTTGATGGATCTCACTGGTTGGCATATCAAAGACAGTTCGGTTTAAAACCTAGTGCAATAATCAAGTTTGGGATTAAGTGCAACTTTCTAGTTTTACCCATCTATCTCCAAGGTCCAGGGCATAATTGGAAATTGGTTTGGGTTCAATATTTCTTCCAAACACCCACTGGTTGTGCTTGGGGTCTAACCCTAGTAGCTGAGACAAGCTGCTCCACCAATTCGACAATACACCAGTGTCAGCCTTGTCGGGATAAACTTCCTAAATGTATCCAATGACTGGGAACATTCCAAACTAACATGAGTCTCATAAGTGTCCAATTTAAGGAGTAATTCACAGAAACACACCAATAAGAACATGAAACAATAATGTACTTTATTTGTTTATTGATAAATGTTTGTGTACATTAATCTGATTGGAGCTAAGGGCATACAATGTCTAACAAAATGTCACTTTTATTTCATTGGTGCCAAAGAAGGAAGCAAAAACCCCAAAGGGTTACTAACCAATAAGTTTGATTGGGAGTCTTTTTTTTATAAAAAAGTAAATCATTATATTAATTTAATTTAATAAGTGAAAGTTGATACAAGCAGACTTGGAGAAGCGCGAGATGCATACTCTCCAAGGCAAAAATCAAGCTACAACTGTGCCCAATACAATTGGTCCTTGGCTACCCCTTGCTTGGCTAGACAGTCAGCCATAGCATTGGCTAACCTCCCAACCCATTGTACTCTTATAGTCAAACCCCTTGCTAACCACTTCAACCTCTTGACTTCATTATTATAACACAACACTACAAACCCAAGATTTTGTAGCCAACTAAATAGCAAACTGTACACCATGAATTGGATCTAACAACTCTACCCTAGTGGAGTCCCCAATACCTAGGGGGCTCGAGAAAAGAAGTACCACATTTCCGTCCTTACCCCTTATAACCCCACCCAATCCAGAAGGACATAGGTTGCCTTGACTACCAACATCAAAGTTCAGCTTCAAAACCCCTACAGGAGGAGGTGTCCATCTTACACTTGCTTTAGCCTTTAGGGAAGAGCTACTTTCCACTACAACCCAATTTCTCCACAAATCAATAAAGGAGAAATGAAGGAATAGTTCTGAGGATTTCAACCACTAGATAGCCTAGTTCAATATGCATTCCTTTAGGTCTCGTAAATTTCTCTCCTCTTGAAACACTACATTCCTCTCTTCCCCAACAGTCCAGATCAATACTGCTCTTGCAAACCTCCACATTAATCTTCCTGTCTTTTGGTGCCAGGTAAAAGTAGAAGGATCAAAAACCATGCTTACTATAGTAGGCCTATTCCACCTACATCCAAACAACAAAAAGAGCCAATTCCACAACTTTATAGAAGGATTAAGGTGCTTTCGTTGAAGCAAGGAAAATTGTAGATCAAATCTTAGTGGCCAATGAGTGTGTTGTAGAGAAAAGAAGGGGTTGGTGTGCAAATTGGACTTAGAAAAGGCTTATGATTTAGTGGGTTGGACTTTCCTTCTAGATATTTTAGAGAGAACTAGGTTTGAATCAAGATGGACAATGTGGATTGAATGTTGTATTAGCTCAATGCAATGGAGTTGCAAGAGATTTCTTCTCTGCCAAGAGAGGGATTAGGCAGGGACATCAATTGCCCCCCTTCCTTTTTACTGTGTTTGTAAAAGTCTTATGTAGAATGATAGTTAAGGTGGACCGTTAGACAGTTTATGTGCCCTTAGCTCCAATCAGATTGATGTACACTAAGTTTTATGTAGTTCATTATTGTTTTTTATGTTCAAATTGGTATGTTTCTATGAATTACCCCTTAAACTAGACACCTATGAGATTTGTGTTAGTTTAGAAAGTTTCCAACCATTAAATAAACTTGGGGAGTTTATCCTAACAAGGCTGACAGTGATGTATTGCCAAAATAGTGGAGCAACTTGTCTCAACTGCTAGGGTTAGATCCTAAGTACAATCAGTAGGTGTTTGTAAGAAACACTAAACATGGACCAATTTCCAGTTATGTCATGGACCTTGGAGATAGATGGGCAGAACTAGAAAGTTGCACTTAACCCTAGACTTGATAATGATATTGCACTAGGTCTTGGGCTAGTCTACTTTTAATATGCCAATCAATGAGATCCTCTTTGGGTCAAATACCTAGGCATGTTGGAGCAGTTTAGGATATTTCTTAGGTGGGTGATTATTGTGATAGGATCAACCCCTTTGTCAAATAAAGTGAATATCAGGGCTTATACTCTCTTCAATGGAAACCTAAAACCACCGGCAATGGATTTTTGAAATCTCTTTGAAAAATGTATTTATATTTACATTTGATTATTTTATGAAAAATGTTTTAATCTTGGGATCCATCTGAGTAGAGGGTGTGACACTACATTTTGCAATCAAGGAAGAAGTCTTTCCCTGTAAGTAGTGTTTTGATCATTTAGGGCTAAGAGGTTAAGAATAAGAGACCATAACAAGACTGAAACCTGATGGGCTTTATCTTATTATATTAATCCATTACTAGCGGAGGGACCCTGCTTCGCAGGGGTTGGAATGGAACCGTCGACCCGTTGACCCAGTCTCTGGCCAAAAACCGTTGAATCG